ACCAAGGAGCCAAAGCATACAATGGAGAAAGGAAAGCCTTTTCAATAAATGGTGTTGGAAAAATTGGAAAGCCACCTACAAAAGAATGCAACTAGATTGCTATCTGACACCATGCACAAAAGCTAACTCAAAATGGATTAAGTACTTGAATATAAGACCTAAAACAATAAAATACATAGAAGAAAACATAGGCACTAAATTTATGGACTTTGGTCTCAGAGGGATTTTTGTGAACTTGACTCCAAAAGCAAGGGAAACAAAAGCAAAACTTAAATGAATGGAACTACATCAAACTAAAAAGCTTCTACACTGCAGAGAAACCATCAACAAACAAAAAGAGAACCAATCAAAAGGAAGAAGATATTTACAAATGATACTTCTAATAAGGAGCTAATATCCAAAATATATAAGTAACTCATACAACTCAACAAAAAATCAAATTAAAAAATTATCAAAGGACCTGAATAGACACTTCTCCAAAGAGGATATACAGATAGCCAATAGACATATGGAAAGATGCTCAATGTCACTAATCATCAAAGAAATTTAAACCACAGTGAGATATCACCTCACACCTGTTAGAATGGCTATCAATAAATCAACAAACAACAAGTGCTGGAGAGGATGTGAAGAAAAGGGAACCTTCATACACTGCTGGTGGGAATGTAAATTGGTACAACCTCTATGGAAAACAGTATGGAGGTTCTTAAAAAAATAAAGGATAGAGCCACCATATGATCCAGCAATCCCTCCCCTGGGTATCTACCCCCCAATATTGAAAACACTTATTTGATATCTGTACCCCTGTGTTCATTGGAGTATTATTCACAATAGCCAAGACATGGAAAGAACTAAGTGTCCTTTGACAGATGATTGGATAAAGAAGATGTGGTACATATATACAGTAGAATACTAAGCCATAAAAAATGATGAAATATTGCCATTTCAATGGATGGATCTTGAAAGTATCATGCTAAGTGAAATAAGTCATGTGGAAAAGGACAAGAACCTATGATTTCACTCATGTGGGACCTAAAAGAAAGCAACAAATGAACAAACAAAACAAGCTCATAGACACAACAGTATGGTCGTTACCAGAGGGAAAGGGGGGTAGAAGAAGGATGACGAGGATAAAGAGGGTCAAATATATGGTGACAAAAGGAGACCAGACTCTGGGTGGTGTGCACACAATGCAATGTACAGATTTGTATTACAGAATTGTCCACTTGGGATTTACATAATGTCATTAACCAATGTCACCCCCAATAAATTTAAAGGGGGAAAAAAGCATGTAGTAAATGTCTGACTGCATATAGTGTGGTATGAGATATCAAAGGGCCTCCTTAGCTATCTATAGTCCTGCCTCCTGGCAGCTTACAGCAACCTAACACAGACATCCCCGGGACGTTTATAAAGTGTAAGACGATAAAAGATTGAAAATGTTAAGCTCTTGTTTGCATTCAACAAATAATGTCTGCATATTCCATGACGTTCTGTTAGGCTTTAGTGAGTTTTCAGTGGAGATAGTGAAATCCATTAGTGAGTGTAGGTAATGCTGTTTTGCTAAGAGATCATGGACTTTTAGAGCTGGAAAAGTAAAGGATTCTCAGGGGATGATCCCTGCAGCAGCAGCGTGGCATTCCTTGTTAGAAATGCAAGTTCTCTGGTCCCTACTGAATTATAAACTAGGAGGGGGACCAGCAATAGCAAGCCCTCCTGGTGATTCTGATGCAAGCCATTGATTTCATCAAACCATTGCTTTAAAGAGAAGGAAACAGGCCAAGAGAGCAGCTGTCAGAACCACCATTAAATCCTGCCATCAAACACAGCCAAGTGCCTGAAGGGCTGGTCAGTGTGGTGAGTATGGCTAATGGAAAGAATAGAGATCATGTCTCATGTACGGTTGCCTCTTCCTTGCCAGGATGCCGTGGTAAACACATAGTAGATGATTACAAGAGCAAATGCAAATAGGTTGAATTTTTACAGTGTATCTGGAAAGATTTCTCATAAAAGTGGAACTTCTTAGATTTTGGAGCTCAGTTTCACCAAAACTGTTAAGGGTTGTCATTCATTTTTATCACAGCTAACAATCTTTAATTCATTGCTCTCCTATATATCCAAATTCCTTGTCTCCAAAATGTTGTTATATCCTTAGGATAAATGTATAGGTTCATCTTATTGTTCTACTGAATATAAACAACTCGCCATAAAATTTCATTTCATTTTATGTTTTATAAATGAATCATCCACTGAGCAATCCCTCCTCCTCAAAATTGCCCTCAGCTCCTATAACTCTGCTCTTGAGTTTCCTTCTATAAATCTCTACCTCCCAGTCTCTTTTGCAGCGTCCCCTTCCTCTGCCCACATCTCTGACCCCATCTTGGACCCCATTTTCCATGGATGATCTCATCCCTTCCTCTCCCCCAATTTCTGTTCCTCTTTTGTGCCGGTGGCTCTAAAACTGTTATTGTAGCTCAGCTCCATCCTGAATAGCAGATTGCTTTACCCACCTCCTAACTGATCTATTTCTAGCACTCCCCCCTATGCTTTCAATTTCTTCAGTATCACCAGCATATTTTTGTTTTTAATTTATAATAGCACAGACTTTAGAAAAATAAGAAAATATGAAAAAGATAAGGGAGGCTAAAAGACACCACAAGAAGTAGTCGGCCAAATCTAGACTGTGAGTCATTCTATAAGGCAAATGTCGGGGTTTCTTCAACAAATGGGGGTGAGGTGGGGGGAACCATTATAGATTAAAAAAACTTAAGAGACACTAGCATGGCTCTTGTTTGAATCCTGACTGACTCAAACCAGCAATACAAAGAAATTTTTAAAACACTTGGGAAAAATTAAATAGGGAATGGGTATTAGATATTAGATTATTACTAGTTTTCAAAGTTATACTAGAGATGTTACAATTCTGTAAAGTGGAAAGGTCATATGTTAGAAATGCATGCTGGTATAAATGAAATAAGAATGACAGTGTTAGTAATTGCCGCGGGGTGTTCATTATCATTTACTTTTCTATATATTTGAAATTTTTCATCATAAAAAGTCAAAATGAAAGGGCATTTCAACTGAAAAGGAAAAAAATAGGAATGAGGGGGGGAAATCCTGCCATCCTGGGAATGCTTGTTTACAGAACCAGCAGCTAGCTATCTGGTAAAAGTCCTTGACTCAGGCAGTCCATCCGGGCAGCAAGTCTGGTTTATCTCTCGCAGACGTCCTCTGTTCCTCTGCCGCCCGTGTGAAGCACTCGGTGGCTTCTCGGGGACAGGAAACTGCAGGGGTTGTTTTTTCTGTCAAGGGCACTGACCCTGAACAGTGCTACCCTGCAACGAGACAGTCCTCAGCCCCAACGTCATCCATTGCTGACACCACATTGCAACTTACGCTAATGGCCAAATTGCCTGTGTTCTGCTAGCATTAGCGATGAACTACCTAACTCCAACCTTAGATCGATGGGAATCCCTTGCTAGACTGCAAACTCCGTGCTGGCAGATACCACTTTTACCTTCAGTGTCAAAAACCAGTGACCAGCGTGGCATCTGACCATGAGCATTAATGTTTCATTGAACTGAAACCCGGAAAGGGGCCACAGTAATTTGAACGCCGCGTAGCATAGTAAAAATGATGAAGGTATTATAAAGACAAGTTTAAGGACTACTTCCTAAAGATGATAATATTCCTTTCCCAGTCACTAGAAATTTGGTTATTAGGAAAAGAAACAGGTGCGAAGAAATATAGGGACACTAGAAGCCCAGAGTATCTGGTCAAGGTAAAACCAGGAGAGAAAATTTTTGGTTTTCCTCAGATCCTTGTTGAATATAGTATTTAAAAACAAACTTACAAAAAGCTTTTCCCTAGCCCTGAAAATTACCTTTTGTAATGTGTGTGCCAATGTTCAGGTGTCCACACTGCGGAATGTCAGGGAGCTGGCAACCTTCAGATCTGTAATCACCAAGGTCATGTCTGGGGCATGTTAATATACAGGTCCTTATGTTTTCTCGCTTTTGTCTAAAAGTGAAACTCTAGTAAACTTTGTCACTTACTTTCCAGTATTGTTAATAATGAGTAGTTTTAGATTTGAAGCCCCTGCCCCTATGTTAGCATGAAAATAGTAAAATCAAAAATACTAAACTATTTTATTTTAGTAGACACTATGAAAGCATAAGGTATTTATTGTTGCCTGAATGGATAAAAGCACAAATTAAACCTTTTTGTTCATGAAGTTTTAAAATATATTTTTATTGATTTTTAGAGAGAGAACAAGGAAGAGGGAGAGAAAGAAAGATCTATCAGCTGCCTCCTGTCTCCCCCTCTCCCCCCACTGGGGATTAAGCCAGCAACCCAGGCATGTGCCCTGACTGGGAATCAAACTGGCAACCTTTTGGTGCATAGGACAATGCCCAACCAACCGAGCCACACCAACCAGGGCTCTTTAGGAATTTTTGAGACCAAAGACCATAATAAAGGACTTAGGAGCTTGCTTTAAGAGACTGTCGTCCCCATCCCACACCTGTTTTACTACTTTCCTGTGTGCTCTTATAAACTCCTTTCTTAATGACCAGTTCCACGAATTTGGCTCTATCCCCTTCTCATTTAGCACGCAGTGGTACGGCTGCAGCATCATGAAATAAGATTCTGACGTGAGGGGATGTCCCTCATTTAGAATCCCCTTCTGCATAAGATACTGAAGGCCGCATTGCAGGGAATTCTTGAGAGAAAACAATAGGAGGATGAGGGGTTGTGAGTATTTTTTCCCTAAAGAAAAATATCAATAAAATAACCCTGTTGACAGTGTGAAGCAATGTTTCTCTCTGGGGTCAAGGCCAGAGCAATGGACGCCTTATCCCACTCATCCTTTTCCTCTGATAAAGCCCCGACCAGTGCTGAAAAGTCTTTCTTCTCCGGGCTTTTGTTTTTAAAGAAGGGGACAGAGGAAAACTGGAATTAAGAGGATTTTCCAGTCGGTGTCTGGTGGCTCATTCAGAAGGATGCCTCAGTTCCTGCTTCTCACCTGCCTCCTCATCACAATTACACCTGCAGCACCAATGGGTGAGTCTAGTATCAAGTACTTGGCATACTGAGCGTTTTGTTGTAGGAAATTGCTGTTATGTACAGGTTACTAAGAGCTAGAATCCAGTATCTACAATACTGGGTCCAGTCATTGATAACCTATGAGCATATATTTTCAGAGAATTGCTGTTTCATGTTCCATTTAGTCCCTTGTCTGGGCAGCCAAAATTTCCATGGATCAGCCATATCCAGCAGCTTTCCACTAGCTAAATATGGCTTGGAGTATGTGTAAAAGGACTTCTAACCTTTTATGTGCAAGGCACTTTTATAGCTACAACTTCAAGAGCAAAACAAAGATTTTTAGAGTTAAGGATAGATTTTTTTTTCTTTAATGATTTCCAGGGGCTGACTGAAAGCTATAGCCCCATGAAAGGTACAGATCTGGTAAATCAAACTCCGTAGTCTTGACATCTGAAAATAGGACTTTTTGCACAGACTGAGTGAATCGTAAACTGTCTCTCCTCAAGCTTGGCACAAAACTGGCCAACAAGGCAAAGCTGCAGTTCCACTTACTAATAAACGTCTCTCTCCTTTCTCCAATAGAATTTAAGTTCTACTTAGAAGAGAGTGTGAGGGCAGGTTGAGATGGAGAGAACAGTCCTTCTTTTGAGTAGCTCAGTATTTTATTGACCCTGATTTACATCTTCAGAGGAACTCAGGCCTTGCTCTAGCACCTTTATGGATACACATTAAAAACAGGCTTGAAAAAAACCACCAAAACAATAACTCAATACTATCTAATATCTAGTCCATATTCAAATTTCAAAAAAAAAAAATAGGCTTGAGACCCCAAGGACATGAAAACTAAATGTAATGTGGTACCCTGGATGAAATCCTGGAACAGAGAAAGACAAAGGCAAAACTGAAGAAAATCTAAAAAACTATGTACTCGAGTTAATAATAATGTAGCAACATTGGTTCATTGATTGTGGCAAAGGTACCACGTATGATGTATCATAATAGGGAAACCAGGTGGGGGGGGGGCTCTTTGTACCGTCTTCTCCATTATTCTCTAAGTCTGAAGCTGTTTTAATCGTCTATTTTAAAAAGATGGGGCTGCGCTCAGTTTAATCACCCTGAATCTGCTGCTAGAACAACCAAGAGCCTCTTAAGCAAAAGTCATCCTCCCCGCAACTTCTATTCCCCTTCCCATTCTCTTTCCTTTCTTACTCTCCTCAGTGCCTCCTGCACCTCCCAATCATACACCTCTCCCTCCCCAGGCTTCTGACACACACACACACACACACACACACACACACACTTCCTGCACCTCCCAATCATACACCTCTCCCTCCCCAGGCTTCTGACACACACACACACACACACACACACACACTTCCTGCACCTCCCAATCATACACCTCTCCCTCCCCAGGCTTCTGACACACACACACACACACACACACTTCCTGCACCTCCCAATCATACACCTCTCCCTCCCCAGGCTTCTAACACACACACACACACACACACACACACACACACACACACACACGGTGCTCAAGGGAGAACTGGGGAAGGAGGGGAAGGGTAGTGGGGGGAGGGGCGGGGAATGCTTGTCCCGGTTGGAGAGGGAAGTGAGAGGAAAGAAGTAGGGAAGGAAAAGAGAAGAGGTGGGGAAGAGGAAAGCCAAGTGGTTGACGGGGAAGAAGGCAGGGATGGAGGGAGAAGGAAGGGAGGAGAGAGGGGCTCCAGCACTGAGCCTGATGGGATGGGCAGCATGGGTTGAGGAGGATGTAAAGGGTTGGAGGCTCTGCCTCTGCAAACCTGGGAACGAAGGGCGGGACTTGACATTATCTCTCGGCGCTGGGTCACCGTGAGGTGCCGATCCTGGGGGTGCACAGCCGTTCCTGCGTCCCCGGAGTGGGGACCCCAGAGGGGTGGCCGGCAGGGCGGCTGGCAGGCGAGAGGGCGAAGGGGGAGATGGGGGGGGGGCGTGCAGAGGGTGCTCCTGACTCGACATTTGAAAGGAACCCACAGGGCTGTTCTTCCTCCAGCGCTTCCATCTGAGGGGTACATATGTCCACAATTTAGGGCGCCATATGCATTGTACCAGGCTCTGTGCTCCACGGTGAGAGACTGAACACAGGAATTAACAGCTGATCAAAGGATGGAAGTGCTGCCTTAAAAGGGGTTGGAGATGAAAAGATGAATGTGTATATTTAATGTTAGAAATATTGGGTGGGTAACTTTTTAAAATATATCATTTATTTATTTTCAAGGAGATCGTAGGGAAATTTTTCCTGTTTGTGCCATATCTCCCCTACAACAGGAGAGAAAGCGAATTTTTAACAAGCAGCACAAGAAATGACAGTTGAATTTAAGGAAAAACTTTATAATTCATGAAATAGTTATTGAGAGAAGTTTAGGAATGTCTGTAAAAGCCATTACAAGTTGAGTACCTAACCATTTCTTATAAAATTAGAGCCAAGGAAATGAACCAAATATTTCTATGAATTTATGATCACCTGTGAAATTCCCTGAAAACCCACAGCTGGGAGAGCTGATGAAGGAATTTTTCCCTTTTGAGAGGGAGAAAGTCTAAATGAGGACACTTCTTCCCCTGAAGGGGGACAGCAAACTATAAACTAGGGCTCAGTTGGGGTCCCGCAGGGACCTGGTAAAGGAGGCGGTTGCTCCTGCCATGGGCAACTCTGCAAATGTGTTATTTCCAGAAAGTGCAGTATCCTAGTTATTTCCTGTCTCAAATGGTCATATGCTCGTTGGCCATTAGCACTAAGCTACACACTCCTCTATATACGGGTGAAGTTTAGAGAGCAAACTTGAGTTTGAAATGTAGACTGCGAAAATCCAAAATACTTTCTAGACAACTTAGATTTTATGATCATGGTCCATTTACATTTAATTATTGTGCATTGTTTGCTAAAACTGAAATTCCTGCCCACAAAATGTATCAGCCGTCATGTGAATTCCCTGCCTACAATATCAGTTAGGTCAGCCTGACATGCATTAAAAAGGACAGTACTCTATGGCTGGTCTCCTTTCTAGAACTTCTGGGTTTTATAGGTTCATACAGACAATTTGCCTACATTAATTCAATGTTTCTCTGAAACTGAGGGAAGCAGTGAGAATATTGGGGATATTGATGTCTTTAGTCATTAAAATGTTTTTGATGAGACATTTGTCCATGTGCTAAAAATGCATGCTTGGAAATTCTACTCTATTATCCACAGTGAAGCCATGGCTAATGGTGAATATATAAAGTTTACAACATTTTCAATAAGCTGATGGAATATATCCACTTTGAAACCATCTTTGGTAACTACTTGCCAGTATTCTGTGTATTTCAAAGCAGCTGACATGTGCCAGAGGCCTTTTCCTTTTCAGTGGAATGAGTTTTACACATTCGTTATCAAATCAAGCTTCCCGCTAGTGCAAAATTCCATCTTGCCTACAAATGGCCATCCAAATATTTTTTGAAAATTTCCAAAGACTCATCCATTCCTCTCCATTACTGGGTAACTGAACGAAATGTGCTTCCCCATAACAATTTGTTCTTGTTTTTGTAACAGTATACCTAATTCTTCTTCCACAAGCCCAGTCCAGATGTTTGAAAAGTGATGTGCATATTTTTCAGTCTTCTTTTCTCCGAACTATAGTTCTCAGCTTCTTCCCCAGTAAATAATTTTAGGCTTCCTTCTAAGTCTGGTCACCTTCCTCTGGATACCAAGTTTGTCCATTACTTTCACAAAGTATAGCCTCCAGATGTGGACACAATACTCAGAATATTGTCTGACCAGAGCAGGGGTCAATGAGACTGCAACCCTAACCTCCCTGGTTCTGACCAACTCTCTTTCCATCAATTGATTACCATGGATGAAAAACTTAGCCCAATGCTGACACTGAACCTTAGATAGATTTGAAGTAATTTTAAGAAAAGGCATTTGTGAAACATGTGTAAGTCAACTTGGGGAATCTTAAACAGCTACTTTTTGGAACTTTAGATTATTTCTCTCTGAACCCCAGAAAGCCAACATGCAGGACCAAGAGGGTGGACCCAGGATGTTGTCTCTGTGATCTGAAATAGCACCAGGTGCCTCTGAGCTGTCCTTTTCCTTCCCAGCCCTAGATCCTTGTTCTGCTTACATCAGTCTGAATGAGCCCTGGAGGAACACTGACCACCAACTGGATGAATCTCAAGGTCCACCTCTGTGTGACAACCATGTGGATGGGGAGTGGTACCGCTTCACGGGCATGGCGGGGGATGCCATGCCCACCTTTTGCATACCAGAAAACCACTGTGGAACCCACGCACCTGTCTGGCTCAATGGCAGCCACCCTCTAGAAGATGATGGCATCGTGCAACGCCAGGCCTGTGCGAGCTTCAATAGGAACTGCTGCCTCTGGAACACCACGGTGGAGGTCAAGGCTTGCCCCGGAGGCTACTACGTGTATCGTCTGACCAAGCCCAGTGTCTGCTTTCATGTCTACTGTGGCCGTGAGTGCCTTCACTGTGCTCTTTATCTTCCCCCACAAGGCATCAAGGAGAAAAGTGCCATAGGAAATTCAGTTATGGTAGAATCTCAGAGTCCGAGTAGCACGGATTTAGGGCCACATATACCTCCAGGTTGTGATTTCTGAGTTCTCTTCTTAAGCTTCTGAAAAATTTCTGGAGACTAGAAAGGGGCTATGCCTTTGATCATTTGTGCTTTATTTTGTCTTCACTCCTTTTGAACAAGTCATTAGAAAATGAAATGTTGATTTGGGTTATCTAAGTAGAGGATTTCCAACATTTTTTGAGTATGGAGAATCCCTTTTTAAATATATATTAGACATCCATGTGATAGCATTGTGCTTAGTATCCATTGATTTTTTTAAAAATTATATGGGAAGAAGCTACTTTAGGTCAGTAATACTTTTAAATAAATTTTTGTTTTCTCAGTCTCTTCAAATTATATATATTTAAAAAATAGAGTACATAGAAAAGTAGGAGATAATGTTAATTTATTTTTAAAATTTATCTCTATTATTGAAAGTATTACAAATGTCCCTTTTTTCCCCCATTGACTCTCTCCTCCTCACTCCTGTCCCCTCCCAGGCCTTCACCCCACTATTGTCTGTGTCCATGGGTTATGTGATATGAGATAATGTTTATTTAACCCATAGCTCATATTTGTGAGGTATTAGATTTGCAGAATCTATGGCCAACCAAGGGCCTGTGGATCTGAAGCTGGGAATCATTGATCTAAATGACAAAAGATGTTCCTGGGTGGTATGTCTTTCCATTGGGTTTATGTAATCCCTGAACAATGAGAGTTCTCTGGGTGTTGGCTAGAAGCTAGTATCCCATGATTGAACTCAGGAATGAGGGTCCTCTGGTCCTAGTCTGTCACAAAAGGTCATCTTTATCCTTCCATAGATTTTTATGACATCTGCGATGAGGACTGCCACGGCAGCTGCTCGGATACCAGCGAGTGCAGGTGCGCTCCAGGGACCGTGCTGGGCCCCGACAGGCAGACATGCTTTGGTAAGAAACTAATCTTGAAGTAGAAACAGACTATTTAAAGATCAAAGGGACAAATCAAAAACTCTTCCTGACTCAGACCTCCATCGTTTTTCCAGTCTGTGCCTCAGAACACCTGGAATGGTGTTTGCCCTTGTAGTTCATAACTAAAGCTGTAAGCCAGATTTACGGCACGTTTAGGTGTAGTCTAGAATCGTTCTGTGCAATACAGGAGTCCCTGGCCATGAGTGGTTATGGAGCTCTTGAAATAGAGTGACTGAAAAACGGAATTTTAATTTTACTTAATTTTAATTTAAAAACTGATACTTGATTCAGTCATTGAAAAACTGAAAATATTTGGAATAACTTGAGTAGCCATCTGTAAATTTTATGACTCTATACAGATCAAGTATTTCTCATGAAAATTTAGCATCCAAATTGAGACAGGCTATAAGCATAAAATATACACTGGATTTTGAAGACTAGTTTTAAAAATGTAAAATATCTCAATAATTATAATATTGATTATATATTGAGATGAAACATTATGGACATATTGGATTAAATCAAGTATTTATTAAAATTAATTTTACCATTTTCTTTTAAGAAATGTTTAAATATAACTACAAGAAAGATTTTAATTACTTGTGTAGCTTGCTTTGTATTTCTATTGGATAGCTTTGGTCTACACTTATCTAAGGACAGACTCCTACAGCCTCATTAATATACTTTTGGTTTCTCTGAGTGGCAAGGAAGAGGAGTTGGATTGCTTGTGGGAAATCCAGAGTTGTTTAATTGTTGCTTTGTTGTTGAAAAACCCAAGACTGAAGATCCTTTCTTTTCCCTTTAATGTTATGAATCTTTTTGTATTCAGACTCAAATGGACTTAAAAGAAGTCTAGTGAGAAAGGGGAGGCCTGCCCCACACCTTCTCAAGAAGAACGGTAGCAGGTTAGAATGGGATAGGGAATTAGAGCGAAAGGCATATAAATGGCTTAAGAAAAGCTATTGTTCTTCAGTCTCCTAAATGAGCCCCACTGACCATGCTATGGAGCAGTGGTTCCCAAACTTATTTGGCCTACCACCCCCTTTCCAGAAAAAATATTACTCAGCCCCTGGAAATTAATTTTTTTAAAATTTTAATAGCAGTTACTCATTGCCCCCAAATGCACCTGTGGCCATCACCGCCCCCCTGGATCACTGCAGCGCCCACTGGGGGGCGGTAGCGCCCACTTTGGGAATCACTGCATGGAGCATGTTTAGCCCGCCCACAACAGTTGTCAGCGCTCTTACAAGGTCCATTTTGACTCTGTGACTTCATGCTAAAATGTTCGGGTGCAGGAGACAATGGTTCCTGTCATTTCCCCTCTCCCCTCGCACAACACACGCATGGACACACATCTGTTGGAAAATATTTGGCTTTTATTTAAAGGCAGGACTTTTTCATTCATTTCTCTTATTTTTGGTTTTTAAGTATAATTGACATACAATATTATGTTAGTTTCATATGTACAACATAAGGATTCGACATTTATATACTTTACAATGTGATCACCACAATAAGTCTAATTCATTCATTTTTTTGCCTTTATTTTAATATAACTTTGAATCGCTAATATATTTCAACTAGAGGCCCGGTGCACAAAATTCATGCATTCGAGGGGTTCCTCAGCCCAGCCTGCACCCTCTCACAGTCTGGGAGCCTCAGGGCATGTCCAGCTGATGGTGGGGAGCGGGCCTAACCTGGCAGTCGGACATCCTTAGCATGCCACAGAGGTGGGAGAGGCTCCTGCCACTGCCGCTGCGCTCCCCAGCTGTGAGCCCAGCTTCTGGCGCACTGACCACTAGGGGGCAGCTCCTGTATTGAGTGTCTTCCCCCTGGTGGTCAGTGCACATCATAGCGACCGGTCATTCTGCTGTCAATTTGCATATTAGCTTTTTATTATATAGGATAGTTCCTAAATTAAATAGCACGAAAGGTATACAGTGAAATGTCTAGCTCTCTCCATTTGTCCCATTTCCTCCTCACCCCATTCCAAGTAAACTCTTATATTATTTTCTTATGTGCTTCCAGTGTTTTCTCAGGCAGGTATAAAAATGCAAATATAGATATTAATATATTTCCCCCTTTTTTACACCAAAGGTCAAATATCATACACATCATACATGCCTCTTGCTTAACAGTTTATCTTGGACACCTTTGCCCACCAGTACCTAGGGAACAGACCGCAGTTCCTACCTGGAGTCTGTCCATCAGTTTCAGGGAGATCATGAATTCCCTGAAATCACAGGCAACGTTTATGTGCATGTGTCAATTTTCTCCTAGTTTTTTTTTTTCTCTTTGATGTAATATAGTTTTTATTATTTAGTTTAAATTATGTAATTTTTTCAGGCAGAGAGAAGAGTATAGGAAAATAATATAACAGATACTCATGTACCCAGATTTGACTATGGTTAAGTTTTTCTCTTTTTTTAAAATAAAATTTTACAGATACAAGTAAAATCATCTCAGTCCATCTCATTTTTCTCTCTCGCCCTCCAGGGGAGTCAGTGTTTTGAAGTTAGTGTGTGTTCTTCTGGTCCCTGTTTTTATGCTTTTATTATTCATATATGTACCCATAACAATATGTAGCAGTGCTTTGTGTGTTCTTAAAATTAACATAAAAATTATACCTGACCCCATAAAAGTAGAATTGCTGGGGCATAGGATCAAAGTCAGGCTGTAAATAACAACAGACCCCCAAATAACAATGGCTTAAATAACAATGGCTTAAGTAACAATGGCTGAAATAATAGAAGCTCATTTCTCCTTCACATCAAACATCAGTCTTGAGGTAAGCAGGTCAGCCCTGCCACAGAGGCCCGGCCTGAGCACTGGTGTGGCCACCTCCAGGGGGGCCGCCAGTGCCTCTTACCACCCACTGAAGGTCCTAATCTCATTGACTATATTTTTAACATGTTCAACATGTTTGTTTCTCAATTCTATCTTATCCTTTAACACACTTATTTTGGTTGCTATCTTTTAAAAAAACAACAACACCAGCATGTTTTATTGATTTTTTTAAAGAGAGGAAGGCAAAGGGATATATGGAAACATTCGGCTGCCTCCTGCACGCCCCCTACTGGGGATCGAGCCTGCAACTTGGGCATGTGCCCTGACCAGGACTTGAACTAGGGACCTCTTGGTTCATGGGTTGGCGCTCAACCACTGAGCCACACCAGCTGGGCAACTATCCTTCCTTTTATCTGTTTGGTGATTTTTTAAAATCCTCGTATTATGGATTTTTCTGGGTCATTTTGTTTATCTCCAATCCAAAGCCCCTTGTTTGTTATCTTGCCAACTCTCTCTTATAGGAAATTATTTCCTCATGGTTAGTATTTCATGGCAAACCATTTTCTGATGTAATTGTTGTTTTCCGAGCAGTGGGTGGGGAGATTCTATTCTTATCACCGAGTTTATGGAAGTGTTACTGCAGAACAGTTTTCCAAATGCTCTGTCAGGCACCACAGAAACTTCACAGTCCAGGCCAAGTTTTACATCCATTTCTGGCTGCAATATCCCCACTCCATGTGGGAAGTGTAAGTTCACACGTCAGCCCTGGCAGGACTGGGCGTGGGGCTCCTGCGGTTTCTGGAGGCTTTTTCTCTCCTAGAGCTTCAGGCCGAGAGCTTCCTTACTGCCGCCCTGGGCCTCGCAGCAAATGCTTCTCCCCAACTCATTATGGGGATCCCTCTGCCAGGGTCCCGGACAGGGTCTCAGTTCCTGCTCACCTCCGCCTCTGGGCCCAAGGCCATGCTTCCTGCCACCTCGGGGGTGTTTAAACCCCGCTCCCTGGCTTAGGTCCTATGTCCCAGCCATGACAAAGTTAGCTCCCACGCTTCCTTTTCTTTTGTTTGTAGAAGGAAGGGGGTCGACATTTATTGTCAGTTGTGCATTTTTTTATGGCAAGAGTCCCTTCTCTCATCAGATCCTTACAATGACTTAACAATCATGAAGTACAATGTGAGAATATTCCAACATTTAAGAGAGATTTCGAGGGCAGTTGCTCATGTGTGGCAGAAGACTGCCTCAGAAATGTCAGATATTTTCTTCTGCAATGTACGTTCCTTTAATGCCTTTAGAACACAGTTTGATTTATAAGTTTTTATTTATTTGGCAAATCTTTAGGAGCTCATTGGAGAAAGTGAGATTCTCACCAATGCAAAATAATAGGTGAACATGGGCGACAAAAGGAACTTTATTTCCCCACAGTTTTGCCCTTAGGAGGGAATTGGTGAGGGCGTAGGTGCCTTCTGCTTCAGCAGAGGGCAGATGGACAAATAACTTGGTTGAGGAGTCCTGGTTAATAGAAGTGATTATACTGGATCTCAGTGAGGGGGTTGGGCTGTGGAAAGTGTATCAGCAGGAACTGAAAAGATGTGGAGCTTCTGCTAAGGGGGTTGAGAGTTTAAGTTGCTCAGCACCATGTACATGGTGTGTTTCTTTTCTACAGATGAAAATGAATGTGAACAAAACAATGGTGGCTGTAGTGAGATCTGTGTAAACCTCAAAAATTCATATCGCTGTGAGTGTGGGGGCTGGCCGTGTGCTAAGAAGTGATGGCAAGACTTGCGAAGGTGAGAATGGGTAAGAAGGATTCAAATGGAGAGCCCAGGCCATTGGCTTATTCTCTGCTGTCCATGAAACTGCCCAGTGTCAGAAGAGAGTAACAGTGCGGCTGTGTAAGGAAATGACAGAGGGGTTCATCATCGTCAAGGATGCTTGCAGATGGAAGTCACTGTTAACTTTGTCTCCAAGGTTTCACAGAAGGGAGTTGCATTTTGCAAGAGGTAAAGAGCCACATATTTGGAAAATAAAACGGGTATTCTGTGTTTCTCAAACTTTAATGTGCCCACAAATCACCTGGGTTCTTGTTAGAATGCAGATTCTGGTTTAGTAGGTCTGGGATTGGGCCAAGACATTTCTAAATAACTAACTTCAAGGTGACACCTCTGCTTTGACTCCAAGGAGCACACCGGGAGTAGCAAGGTAATAGAGGCGGGTAACATAACAAGTGGTTTAGAGCAGCGATGGGGATACAGAAGGACTGATGATCCAACCAACTGGCAAGAACTCCGATCCATCTAGCTGGTCCAATCAAATTCTATTCTGTTCCTTTTACACCAATAATTCTCTCATAGAATTTTGAATTGAGCAAACTAAATATTACAGCAATTAAGAAATGACTTTCCCCCAAACATAGTAACCATTAAAATCCAGACAAATCCAGATTGAAGGGAATTCTACAAAATGACCAGCTTAAGTGTGTAGAGCTGTGGGTATTGTAAGATTGCTCTTTGTAGCTATAACATTTAATACCCATATTTTGTGGGCTTTCCTACATGTCTCAGTGACTGTTAGGCCCCAGTGATACTGTGATGAGTTAAGTTAAGCCCCAATGCAAAGTGCCATCCCAAGAACCAGAATTTCGGGGAAAAGAGGGCTCCAAGATCATCCCCCCCACCTTTTTTTTTTATTGCAGACATTGAAGGATGCCACAACAGCAATGGCGGCTGCAGCCATTCTTGCCTTGTGACTGAGCAGGGCTATCAGTGTGAATGTCCGCGGGGCTTGGTGCTGTCTGAGGACAACCACACTTGCCAAGGTAGTACTTGCAGGGATTGACCTCTGCTCTGATTCATGCTTCCTCTCCCCGTCCCATCTCCCGGCCTTCCTCGCCCAGATGTGTCACGATTCTCATCTTTTAGAACGCCAGCTCTTTCAGCAGTGTGTGTTCCTACATCTTCATCCTGGAAACATTCAAAAGAGAAAAGACCTAAGAAAAGATTACCAAAAGACAAAACCGAACCATTTTACTTTGCTTTTTTAAAAAGTGTGGTGGAAAATATATAACATAAAATGTACCATCCAAACCAATTTTAAGTGTATAGTTCAGTAGTGTTAAGTATATTCACAGTGTTGTGTAACACATCTCCAGAACTTGTCCACCTTGCAAATCTGCAACTCTACACCCATTTAATAACTTCCCATTTCCCTCTCCCCCAGCATACAGTATTTGTCTTCTTGTGACTGACTTATTCCACTTAGCATAGTGGCCACAAGGTTCATCCATGTTGTAGCGTATGACGGGATTTCCTTCCTTTATAAGCTGAATAATATTCCATTGTATGGATATACCACATTTGTGTACTCGGTCATTCATGGATGGACATTTGGGTTGCTTCTGCCTCTTGACCATTGTGAATGGTGCTGCTATGGATGTGGGTGTGCAAATATCTTTTTGAGATCCTGCTTTTCATTCTTTTCGATGAATACCCAGAAACGGGATTTCTAGATCATTCGGTTTCCTTTGCTTTTTCATCTTTGATTTTTCCCCTCTAATTTCTGTTACTAATTGTAAGTCTAATACTCAATTTAGACGTGTAAGACATCGATGCAGTTCTTCTGTTTTCTAGCAGATTATTGGGCTGTGAAACTAAGTGGAAAGCCCTAGAGAACTGATTCTTCTCCCTGCACTTACAATACGAGCCTCAGCAATCCTCTGAGAACTGTTTTCTGGAAATCTGGTTATTTCTGTCCAGAACATTATTTTATTCATCCAGCAAATATTTAATGAGCAACTATCTCTGACTTTTTTTTACTATACCATTTGTTATGGTATGTCCTCAAATATTGATATTCTCCTCAGATATTTCCAGACGCTACCCATACATATTCCTTTTAGGGTATTTGTAGAGTTGGAAGAAGTGAACATGGGAACACTGAGGAAAAGCAACCTTTTTATATTCAGTGCAAGTGCAATTTATAGCCAGAGTTATGGCTTACTGAACAGTACAAAGACAATTTAGAACTCCTCCCCAAGTGCACCAACACTGCTTTTATTACCTGTTTTATGGAGCAGTAATTAACAGTAAAGTCAAAGCAGGACCATTATATAATTTAAGCCTGTATCCAAGCAGTCATTTTCTGAATGGCCAATAAATTGTGCTTGTGCTAAAAGTTAATCCTCCAGGTGCCTCAGTTCATGGAGTTATGCTAGCCATACTTTGAAAGGTCTGTCGAATTGAAACTTGAACATACTCGTTCCTCATTTGGGAGATAATATACTCAGGAGCATTATTTGACCACAGCCTTGGGAGTTAGGAGTCCTGGTTTTATTCACCAACTTGTTTCGAGCCTCATAGATTTCCTTGAGGATAGAACAAAAAGCTGGAGCTGCATGATGGTGAAATTAATTCTTCTAGAAGCCTTCCCTCAGGGTCTCGGTTCTAACAGCAGCCCCTTTCTGCCGCAGTCCCCGTGTTGTGCAAGACCAACACCATCGAAGTGAGCGTCCCCAGGGACCTGGTGGGCGGGCTGGAGCTCTTCCTGACCAACACCTCCTGCCGAGGAGTGTCCAATGGCACCCACGTCAACATCCTCTTCTCCCTCAAGACGTGTGGCACCGTGGTCGATGTAGGTTCCTCCTGAGGACACTGGGGAATGACCAAAAGCCGGTCTGGGGAGGTAGTTGACAGAGGTATGCGGTAGGGCTTGTCTGAGAGGAGCTATTTCCATATGAAAGAATGGATTTCAAAAAATCTAATGCCACTCATTTAACAAATCTATTATTGCGCATGTGCTGTGGTCCTGGCACCATGGGGATAGAAAGTTAAAGCAAATTCTACTATTTCTGTTCTCATATTGCCTGACCTCCAGCATGCGTAGACATTGTCCTGAGTGCATCAGCACCGGTATTGTCTCACATGAGAAAGCGACTGATACACATGGTGGTCCATTTATGAGGCAGTAATGAGTCCAAGTATTGAACCACGTGGAGGCAAAAGGTTTGCACTTTCATCCAGGAATCTGTGCACATCCCTCTGCTGGGGAGCCTAAGGGATATGAAATAAAGATTCCTGGTTTTTAGAAACATATACAGTAGTGTTGAGATGACAATACACACGAAATATAAAAAAAGAGATAGTGATCCAGGTGAGAGGGGCTATAGGAAGCCAAAAAGGGACAGACCCTGGAGCAGCCAAGACAAGTAGGACTTGAACTGGGGCGGAAGCATGAGTGTGGTTGATACGTGGTTGACAGGCAGAGAGCAGAAGAATGGGCATATCAGATGGAAAACAAATGAGCCAGTCCCAGAGACGGGAATCCCTACGCTTATGCAGGGCACTGGGGCCTGACTGGCAAGGAATTCGTTTTGGGAGAGAAAACGAAGAGAGGTGCTCCCAGAGGTCTGTCTTGTGCACTAGGGTGAGGACTTGGGGTTCAGCAGGCCCTGTCGTGATGACATCAGACGTGTGCAGAAAGGAGGGGAAAAGAGGACCTGGATCCTGGGGAGCAGTGCAGAGGCCCTTGTCATCATTTAGTTAAACAAATAGTTTTTAATTGAATCTGATGAAGAAAAAATCAGAGCGCTAATAAGACCTGGGGTGAGATATGGAGGAGATGTTCCAGGAGAAGGCGGTCCCACGTTAGGCAAGCTGTGTTTATTCTGTCTGTGCACAATGGCATGGAAATGCCCCGTGAGGCGCCAGACGAGGCTGGACATAAAGAACTGAAAATCAAGTAGCAGCTGAAGTTCTGTGTGTGGATGAGGTCAGCACCAGGTTATGCTGCAGCAGGATCACCAGGTCTAGACTTACAGAAAAAGTAACACACAGAAGCTGCTCTCTCCTAAAACATACGAGCTTTGAATTTGCTGATTCTGCATAGCTCGGGTTTTCTGAGTAACATTCCAAAGGAATGTGTGGGTTGACCACGAAGTACTATGCAAAAAATTATTAAAAGCTTCAGGCTTCAGCAACCAAATTTCTAATGTGTTTTGAGGTTTGGAGATTGTTATGATTAAGAGGAGGGGGGAGAAAACTGTAGAAATGAATGTAAAATCTCGTTCCTCTCTTCGCCCTGGCCCGGCTCAGGTGGTAAATGACAAGATCGTGGCCAGCAACCTTGTGACAGGTCTACCCAAGCAGACCCCAGGGAGCAGCGGGGACATCATCATCCGAACCAGCAAACTGCTGATCCCCGTGACCTGCGAGTTCCCGCGCCTGTACACCATTTCCGAAGGATACGTTCCCAACCTTCGAAACGCCCCGCTGGAAATCATGGGCCGCAGTCACGGCATCTTCCCGTTCACTCTGGAGATCTTCAAGGACCACGAGTTTGAAGAGCCTTACCGGGAAGCGTTGCCCACCCTCAAGCTTCGAGACTCCCTCTACTTTGGCATCGAGCCCTTGGTGCACGTGAACGGCTTGGAAAGCCTGGTGGAGAGCTGTTTTGCCACCCCCACTTCCAAGATCGACGAGATCCTGAAGTACTACCTTATCCGGGATGGGTAATTATGCTGCTTAAACCAGTTATTATTCCCAGTTCACATCCAACCTCTAAGTGCACCAGTATGCTCAGTCATTTCCCAGAATGGCTCAGCGCTCTTGCAAGCTCTTAATTAATTAATTCAGAAACCGTTTATTGACATTTTGGAGGTGGAAACTGGTGAGGGAGAGGAGAGTCAAAAATGACTCCATGGGATCTGGCTCAGATGGCCACCTAGATGCCATCAATCAAGACAAGAGGATATAAGTAGAAAAGCAGACTTGAGGTTAAAATACTGAGTGTGATCATTCTAAATAACAATATTGAATTGTAAACGCCAGCAGGATGCACAGGACGAGAAGTTCAGGGGGCATTGGGAAGTGCCTATCAGTTAGACCCAGGAACAAGGTCAGGACCAGAGATAAAAGAGAGAATCACCCTGTTTGTGGTTCAATTCCCAGTCAGGGCACAAGCCCAGGTTGCAGGCTTGATCCCCAGTAAGGGACATGCAAGAGGCAGCTGATCAATGATTCTCTCTCATCATTGATGTTTCTCTCTCTCTCTCCCTCTGCCTTCCTCTCTGAAATCAATAAAAATATATTTAAAAATAATAATAACAAAGCCCAAACCTCATACTCTCTATTCCACTCTTACTGACTTAATTCCAGCCCTCCTTATCTTTCAAGGGGACAGCTAATACAGCCACCTAACAGCACAGCCTCCTAAACCTCAGGGTCCCTGGGTAGCCAGTCAAAAGGAAAACACACAGATTGTTACACCCCCATTGAAAACTTTTTCATGGCTCTTGATTTCCTTTGGTTGGTAACTGTTTACCAGAGGGAATGCTTCTGGCTCAGATTCCTGCCGTCCCCTTGGCTGCTTTTAGAGGATGGAAATCTGTCATTCTGAGCTGCTGCGGACGGCCAGTGGCAGGTCTCACAGGGACCCACAGTCTTTCGGATTTATTGCCATCTTAGAGTGATCGCCAGAAAGTTTTAAAAGGGAAAGTAGAAGTATCCTTTTTTATTTATTCTTTTTAGTCACATATTCAATGCTATGTAGATTAGGGAATTGATTTCCTTTCGGGAGAAGAGTGGATTTTGGCTCCTTTTTGATTTTTTTTACAGTTTTATTGGAGTACTATTGGCATACAATAAATACACATATTTAAAGTGTACAGTTTGTATATATTCATGAAGCTATGACTACCATCAAAATAGTGAGCATTTCTCTAACATCAAGAGTTCTCTTCTGCCTCATATTTCCTTTGCAAAAATAAATGTAAAATCATTCCTCACTTACTGGAAAAACATGTAATCTGCAACCTCAATTAAGCTTATGAAGTTTATTAATATATTCATTATTCAGACTCTCAGTTAAGGACATCTTTTAAAATTCAGACAGTTCTAAGAAGCTGTGCTACTTAATTTTCCAGCCCTCAGTGCATACAAAGCAGAAAAAAGAAAGCTGTGGAAGAAATTAAAATGCTTAAAAAGTAGAAGGCAAGAACTCAAAGACACAGCTGTGTAGGCCAATTTAGTAAACAGGCAAACAGTCCCATCTCCAGTACAGTAATGGGACTACAGTAATGGGGCACATGAGATAATCCCTCAAAATAAAACCCAGCTCTCAGCGTGGCTCACTGTGCTCCCCCTCTGACCTCTACCCTCTCCAGTTTCTGCTCAGGCCAAAGGGAACTGTGAGCAAGTCCCAAACTCTATTGTTCCTCACACCCTCCTGCCTCTGCGCCTGCTCTTTCCTCTGCCTGCAGTCTTCTTTCTTCCTGTGTGATTTTTACCGGTCCTTCACGATTCAGCAAGGTTACTTCCTCCATGAAGCCTTCCTGGATTCCTTCCAATCTGACGAGAAACCATCCTTCCTTCTACTTCCGCCTCAATGCCTAGCCTACAGTGAGGATCACTGAATATTTGCGTAATGAATTATTTTTTTAAAATGTTATTTTCCATCTCCATTTATCTCCCCTTTGCCTTCTTCTGCCTCTTCCCACACCCCCTTCCCTCTGACAATCACCATACTGTTGTCTGTGTTCATGAGTCTCTCTTTGTTTTTGCTTAATTTCTTCACCTTTCTCACCCAGCCCCCCAACCTCCCTCCCCTCTGACAGTAATCAGTCTGTTTTCTGTAACTATGAAGTCTAATGAGTCTTTGAATAAGTATTTATCATAATAGTGCAGAGCCCTTAAATAAACATAATGTAGTTTACTTACACTTATAAATTGTTTGATGATTCATTGTCCTCAGCTTAAATTTAAATGAGGCTGGTTTCCCCTGATATTTAACACACGACTCACCTCCCTCTAGTTTGAGTTGATATATGCTCTGAGAATGCAAAATAATTTCACACCAGCCTAGGCAAAGTAGAATTAGAAAGTTAATCTCCAGAAAAAGAATCTATTGAATTCCAAAATCAAATATTGGGCAACTTTTGGATGATCAATTTCTTTGGGTTGTCATATATCATTGGTCTTTCTTTTAGCACATGAACTTAAAGCTGATAGGACTAGCGTTATCTAATCACAATAAACACCAAACCAAGAGCCAGAATTTGTCCTGGGTCTTATCTGCAATGTGTTACCCAGAAACAGCTCTTTCTGCCTCATTTTCTCTCTTAAGGAAAAAGTGTAGTATGTTTATTTATTTTTAAATTTAATAGTATATTTTATTCAACCAAGTTTCTCCAAAATATTACTATTTCAACATCTAATCAATAAAAAATGTATTAGTGATTATTTTACTTAGACTGCTAAGTCTTTGAAATCTAGTGTATATTTACACTATAAATACATCTCAATTCATTTTTATTTTGTGTTTTGTTTTTTTTGTTTTTTTTGGTTAATCCTCCTACCCTCTGCTCATTAGCACTGTCTGTCCCATCTGTCATTCACTGTTCCCACAAACTGGGCACAAGGACCTCCTGTTAAGTCAGTGTACTGAAGTATTAGCAACAGCAACAGTATTTATTTCAAAGGTACCTTTTGTATTTTCATCCGTAATATGTTGCAGGAATTCTGAGGGTAGAGGTCAGAGGGGGAGCACAGTGAGCCACGCTGAGACCAGGATTTTATTTTGAGGGATTATCTCATGTGCCCCATTACTGTAGTCCCATTACTGTACTGGAGATGGGACTGTTTGCCTGTTTACTAAATTGGCCTACACAGCTGTGTCTTTGAGTTCTTGCCTTCTACTTTTTAAGCATTTTTTTGTTAATCCTCTATTTTTTGCTTTTTTGTGTTGTTGTTTTTTCATAGAGAGTGGGGGGAGAGAGGAGGAGAGAGAGAGAGAAAGAAACATCAACATGAGAGAGCCACATCAACTGCTTGCCTCTTGCACACACCCCAACAAGGAGTGGAGAGTGAGCCTGCAACCCAGGAACGTGTCCTTGACTGGGAATCAAACTAGTGACCCTTCAGTGGGCAGGCTAATGCTCTAACCACTAAGAACACCGGCCAGGGCTATTTTATTTTATTTTTATAATTGATTTTAGAGAGAGAGAGAAAGGGAGAGAGACAGAGAGAGAGAAACACCAATTTGTTGTTCCACTTAGTTATGCCTTCATTGGTTGATTTTTGTATGTGCCTTGACCAGGGATCGAACCCGTAACCTTGATGTATCAGGACAATGCTCTTACCAACTAAGCTACCTGGCCAGGGCCTTTATTTTTTATTCCCAATTTCCCAGCCCCCTACTACTTTCAGATAAAGAAAATTTGAAATTGCTGAAACACTTAGTGAAAGTGCCATTTTAATATTGTTACATTATTATAATAAATATTGGACTATAAGCTTTCGATTTCATAGACCATATTATTCATCTTTATATCCTCTGCAGCACCCAGCAGAGTGTATTGCACAGATTAGATGTGCAATGGGATTTATTAGGGAACATAATTAGAAGATGATAAAAATTAATTTCACCTAAGAAAAATGAAAATTAACACAAGAAATAATAGAAACTCATTATATGTTTAGGTCCTCTTCAATTCAGAGGCATAAGATAGTCATAGAAATACAAGTCAAGATGCCTTGTTTTTAAATACTTTTATTGGGCTTTTTCACTGCACGGAAAGAGCAATTAGCAATTCCTAGAAAGTGGCCTGTCAGCACAAGGAGCAGATATCCAGTTTCACGGGCTTTTCATCTGATCCCCCCTGGCCTGGTAGACAGGAACTATTAGGTATCCAAAAGAAGAAAAATATACTTATAAAAAGAAAGTTCACTTAGACTTCATAATGGAAAAGATAATACAAGTCTGACCCTTGGCCTTTCATCTTCAAGGAGAAAAGTTTCGTAATGCTAAACCTTGGCCTCAAACTGGAGAATCCATAATATTATTTTCCCCCAGCTAACCCTGAGGTGAGCCTGAGTTCACTTTAAGCAGTAGATCTGAGATTAAAATCCCAAAACCCTGCCAAGCTACAAGTTAGTATTAAATTTGGGAAGAAGAATTAAAACAATTTGGAAGTGAATGACTTTTCCCCAATAGAACCAGTTATTTATTCTCTAAGAAACTTGGATCTTTATGCAGCTCTTTGATGCATGAATTGGGTTTGGCTCACCCTTGAATTCCCTTCAGGGGTGACTATCTATTAGGTACTCATAAATATTTATGAAATCTAAAGAAAGGCCTTCTCAAACCAATAATAAAGTATGGGAATGCAGAATTCCTGCAACATATTACGGATGAAAATACAAAAGGTACCTTTGAAATAAATACTGTTGCTGTTGCTAATACTTCAGTACACTGACTTAACAGGAGGTCCTTGTGCCCAGTTTGTGGGTACAGTGAATGACAGATGGGACAGACAGCGCTAATGAGCAGGGCTGGGTCTGAAGGGAATTTCCTTTTTCCTTCATTCTCAAAAAGTTTGAGCGCAGCCCAGCCTCCTCCACCCAGTTTCCCTCTCCTTGGACCAAACACGTTGGCCTGGGTTGTTTTTCCACCCCTGCTTAAGCAATCAAGTCTTACGTGCCACCCTGCCCTACTTTCAGCTGTGTTTCAGATGACTCCGTGAAGCAGTACACATCACGGGATCACCTAGCAAAGCACTTCCAGGTCCCTGTCTTCAAGTTTGTGGGCAAAGACCACAAGGTAAGCCGAACCCCACCCCCCACCCACTACCTGAGCTTTCCCTCTTAATATCCCAACCTGGTGACATTCTCTGAGCCACAGTTATCATCTGCATTTCCTCTATGAAAAATGCTGTAAAGTTGGCCATCTAGAAGCTTAGCACCTTCATGAATGTCATACTTATCTGCCCCTCCCAATAAAATAGCTGTGTTTGTTCAAAGAAGGTACTATATGATCACAATTTTAAATCCTTGTGGGCAGGTATGGGTGAAAAAGCCTGTGTGGTGGTCACATGGCAAAAAATATGGACAGGAAATTCACAGAAAACACAAACAGTGAAATACTCAGTGAAAGTAGTACTTAAAATGCCAATTAAAACCATTATAAGACTCTATTAATACATATAAAATTATAAATCACAACACACTAAATTATAAAAAGTATACAGTGGCCTTATAAATTGGTACACTTTATGGAAAGTTGCCTGACAATATTTAATAACTAGAAGCCCAGTGCACAAAATTCATTCACTTGGGTGGGGGGGAGGGTCCCCTAGCCCAGCCTGTGCCCTCTCGCAGTCCAGGAGCCCTCGGGGGATGTGTGACTGATGTCACATGGCTTAAGCTACAGTTGGACATCCTTAGCGCTGCCTTGGAGACAGACTGCTGCACTTGCCAGCCATGAGCCTGGCTTCTGGCTGAGCGGTGCTCCCCTTGTGTGAGCACACTGACACCAGGAGGCAGTTCCTGCATTGAGCGTCTGCCCCCTGGTGGTCAGTGTGTGTCATAGCGACTGGTCATTCCACCATTTGATCGATTTGCATATTATCCTTTTATTATATAGGATAACCATAAAATAATCATGTTCTTTTTCCTAAAAATTCCAATTCTGACAATTTCTCAAAAACAAGCAAGCAAAAGAAGAAAAACAAGACTTGTTGTATATGTTTATAGAGCATTGTATAAGGGGAGTGAAAAAAAAGCCCCCAAACAAACAGGGCTGCAGTATATCAATTAGCACAGTGTTAAGCAGTTATTAAAGTGGTATGGAAATATGGAAATATAGAAAAGGGAGACATGAAAAGACTTGTCATAACAATTTGCATGCGTGTTGAAAATGCTACATTTTTTAAATGTACATACATAGCTGTAGAGGTTATAAGCAACTATCTATAATAGGGTAAGGAGGAAGATTTTTGTTTGAATAGAGTTGTTGAAACATTTCAACAAAAAGAAGTTTCAGAGACCAGTGATCTTTCCCACGCTGCATGTAAGTGCATTGATGTGCTTCCCGGCTGCATCACCGCCCCAGGAGGGCCCACAAGGGTGGCTGATCCTGGCCTCCCTCCTCAGCTAGGCAGCATGCTTGGAAAGTCACCTGCCGGAAGCAGCTCGGAGAAAGGACCACCCTTACACAGAAGTGCATGGGGGCTGATGTCATTCCTCACTCTGACGTGAGGAATGAAGAGGTTGCCATTATTAGGTGTTGCCTTCACAAAGGTCTCCCCGGGCCTACACAAGTGCATAAACTATGCATGTGGTGTTTTCAATCTCCCACAGGACTCTGTGTGTTTGCCGCATTACTAAGTGTGTGAATTTGGGCGAACTCCCTAACCTCTCTCTCAGTTTCCTCATCTGTAAAATGGTCATAACATCTACCTCAAAGGGTTGTTGTTTAGATAAAATGAGATGACATATATGAAATATTTGGTATAGTGTCTGGCTTCTAGAAAGTGCCCCACAAGCGATCGCTGTTATCATTGTTTTTGTTCCAGGAAGTATTCCTGCACTGCCGGGTCCTGGTCTGTGGCAGGCTGGAGGAGCGCTCCCGCTGTGCCCAGGGCTGCCACCGGAGAACGCGGCGAGAGGCAGGAGGGGAGGACGCAGCTGGTCTGCAGAGCAGATGCTGACGGGCGGCCCAATCAGCATCGACTGGGAGGACTAGGACACCGAACGCCCAGGCCTGGCTTCCGGCTGCCCGCCTGTTTGGAACTTCTCCCCATGACCTCTGAGGACATCAGTCAACACGCTCGATCACTGCCCTTCTTTAAACATCACGCTGTGGGTTAGACAGACTCGCAGGACTGACGCCCTCTGATCTGGCCCAAAGGTCGGGAGAGGTCAGCTCACTGCGGACCGACCTGACCCTGTTAGGGCTTCATCCTCCCAAGGTCAAAAGCTATGCTGTCCACACAGAAGGCAGCTCACCCTTTTCCCCCATTTCTTTTCTACAATAAATCACCTTTTATAGGATGCAGTAAAATCAGAAGTTGGGTATGATATTTCAAATTAAGAATTTAAAAAAATTAAATAGTTGCTTGAAACTATGACTTAAATACCCAATGATTCCTTAGATATGTAAATAATATTATACCCTGAAATTTCAAGTCAAATACAGAATAGTTACCGGGGATTCAGAAGTTTATCAATATAAGTGTGTACTAAAAAATACTATTTGGTTTTTCTCTTGCACAATATTTTCTTTTGACATTTTTTATGTTGTCTTAAGAAATACCTTCAATTAATAAATGTTATTAAATTTATTATAACATGCATTCAAGTGGTTCAATGACTGAACTTTAGATAAAATTAAAATGTGGTGTCATATGCCCTGTTATTTGGCATTCTGTGCCCTCAGACTGATAAGTGAATAGAAAAAGGTATAAAATTATACCATACTCTATTGTGTAGGTGCTTAATTAATTTTATTGAAATAAACCACAGAGATAAATTTTATCTGCTGTTAAATCCAGTTTCTTACTAAGCCAGTTAATTTCATGGGTTTACATAAGATCAGAAAACAACGTTTCTTCTTTTTCTTTTTAGAAATGGCTGCAATCAACAGTTCTTAATGGAACCAGTGAAATTAACAAAAGGAAAGGAGAAAGTGAACTCCATCAGGGGTTTGCCGAATTTTTCTGTAAGGGCCTCATGGTAACTGCTTTAGGCTTTCTGGGCCTAAACTCTGCTCTGGCAGCCCGGGAGCAGCCATGAGCACACGTGGCCATGGTTATGTTCCAGTAACACTTCCCAGCAGCAGGTGCTGGGCCTGATTCAGTCCATGGGCTTTCATTTGCCAGCCCCTGACCTTGGTGGCCCTCAGGCCTCACGGGGCATCAGAGTCACTTTATAAATTACCAGGATAGGCAAACCTCAGAGATATCTCCAGTCTGCTCCCAGACCACGACAATAAATTGAGTCTCACAACAAAGCAAGTCATAATCTTTTTCTTCGTGGAAGGTCTTGCCTTCAATTTGTAGAAAACGCAACACCTGTGAAGGGCAAGAAAGCCAAGCGCAATGAAAGGTATGCCTGTCTGTAGATACCACCCCTAGAGACTCTGTTGCTAGTGCTCCTCCGGTGATTCTAATTTGCCATCAGGGCTGAGAACCACTCTCTGGGAATGGCCATTTGTCTCTCATGCCCCTCAGATTTTAGGGGCTTTTCTAAGTTATCTTTAGTGTCAGTTTTTACCCAGTGCTCCTCAGATCTTCACACGACACGGAGACCACCTAGTACTTGGGGGTCTCAACAGGAATAGTTGATTGAATGAAAAAAATGGAACCTCAGACCCAACTCCACCTGATCTCCACCTCCGTGGCTTCGATCAGGTAAGCCTCTGCCCACCGGTTCCGATCTCTTCAGCACCAGCAGGAATAACGTATCATCGGTGGAACTTACCAGGTTGGTTCTGTTTTCTTCTAAGTGAAAAGGAAGCGTGTTGGTGATAATGAGATTCATTCATCTCTTTTCAAATTTTCTAAAAAGTACACTTTATTATATGTGAGATCCTTACTGGCAACTGAAACATGGACCAGATTATTGGTCCTTGCCTCCCAAATGGCTGGACTCTCCAAAATTTCACTTGTGAATAGAATTATCAAGTCCAAGAATCCCAGTAGTTAGTCTTTATTTTAGTCTTTAAGTTAAGAACTGAATTTCCAGGCAAATGTGTCTTGGTTGGAGAGACCATTGTTAAAGTGACGAGTTGCCTTCAGTTCACTCCACGTCTTTTTTCCAATTATCCTCAAAGGATGGGATGCACTTTTCGGCTGTAGGCTATTTCCTTTCTCCTGCTTGGTGGTATCCAAATCCTTGGAAGAAAGGATGAGACACATCTGCCACACTACCATCTCCGAGACTGACAGCCATGATGTCAACGCAAAACCAAAAAGGAGACACCTCTTCCCTATAACTCCTCTTTCTCCTCTTCTGCGCAGATGCAGGCTGCCCGTTGACTATTCATAAAGGGTCGGCAGCCCAAAGTCCATACAGTATTAAACACGGTATCAGCCAGGGAATCACATGCTACTTGAAAAAGATGTAGAGAAACAGAGAGGTTAATACTGGTACATAGAACTGCCTCCAAGTAGTATGGGTAATTTTAAAGAGTCAATGTAGCTCCAAGATTGACATGATACCCAGAGGAAAGTAGAGACAATAATCTGAATACAGAATTCAAAGGGAAAGCATACATTTAAAAGGAGTTTTTTTCAGAACAGCTTCTATCCAATCTAGTAGAGCAGAATACATTTTGGGCACTGGCCGAGTAGCTCAGTTGGTTAGAGCATTGTCCTAATATACCGTCCCAATAGGCCAGGGTTGTGGATTCGATTCCTGGTCAGGGCACATACAAGAATCAACCAATGAATCCATAAATAAGTGGAACAACAAATTGATGTTTCTCTATCTCTCTAAAAATCAATCAATAAAATAATAATACATTTTGGGGTGCCCTCTTTTTATGGGTCTCCAGGTCAAAACCATGATTAGCAATCAGCATCTTCCATACCACTATGCTCACTCCATGGCAAATTTACAATTTTTGCAGAATACTTGCTCAGATAACACTACTGTGTTTCCTGTAGCTTTCCCTGTTCGAGTGTGGGGTGAATAACCTTTTACTTGTTGAAAATTCAAGTGTGCCTGTTGGATATGTTGGCCAGCCACTGTAAGGCATCAGGGACACAGAGACCAAAGGGATCTCAACTCAAGGATCTCACAGTTTGGACAGAGAGGAGGATAGGATAGACAGGTAAACATATAGTTACACTACACCATAATGGAAGTTACCCACTGTGGTATGGGAGCCCACAGTAAGGGTCTCTATCCCTTTGTGAGTAAGGATTGTTATGGAAGGGTCTCAGAGCCCTTGGAAGTTTGATAGGGACTGCATTAAATCTATAGATTCCTTTGGGTAGTATGGACATTTTTAAAGGTTTATTGAGCCCTAGCTGGTTTGGCTCAGTGAATAGAGTGCTGACCAATGGACCGAAGGGTCTCAGGTTTGATTCAGGTTAAGGGCAAGTACCTCAGTTGCAGGCTCAATTCCTGGCCTGACTAGGAAGCAACCAATCAATGTGTCTCTCTCACATTGATGTTCCTCTCTCTCTGTTTCCCCTCCTTCCTTGCATACTCTCTAAAAAAATCAATGGAAAAATATCCTCCAATGATAATTAACAATGACAAAAAAGTTTATTGATTTCAGAGAGAGAGAGAGGAAAAGAGAGAGAGAGAGAGAGAGAGAGAAAGAGAGAGAGAGAGAGAGAGAGAGAGAGAGAGAGAGAGACATTGATCTGTTGCTCCATTCCCATATATGCCCTGAACAGGGATCAAACAGCAACCTTGGTGTATAGGGATGACACTCTAACCAACTGAACTACCCAACCAGGGCCATGGACATTTTTAACAATTCATTAATTCTTCCAGTCCATGAGCATGAACTATCTTTCCATTTATTTGTGTCTTCTTCAGTTTTTTTCATCAAAGTCTTATAGTTTTCAGTATGTAGGTCCTTCACCTCCTTGATTAAATCTATTCCTAGGTATTTTATTATTTTGATGCAATTATAAATGGGATTTTTTAAAAAAATATATTTCTGATAGTTTGTTATTAGTATATAGAAATGCAACAAATTTTTGTATGTTAATTTTGTATCCTGCAATGTTACTAAATTATTTATTAGTTCTAACAGTTTTTTGGAAAAGTTTTTAGTGTTTTCTATATATAATGCCACATGAAATGGTGACAGTTTTAGGTCTTTCATTTCTATTTGGATGGCTTTTATTTCTTCTTCTGACCTATTTTTTCTTGGCTAGGACTTCCAATACTATGTTGGATACAAGTGGTGAGAATAGGTATCCGTGACTTGTTCATAATTTTAGAGGAAAAGTTTTCAGCTTTTCACCATTGATAAAACTGTTTGAACAACAATAAAACATGAATTATAAGAGTGTTCCAAGCAGAGGGAACTGCAGACACAGAAAGATATGGACCATCAACCCAAGTGGTTGGGAATGGCAGGAGTCAGGAGAGAAATCAGGAATGAGCAAGTTGATGCTGAAGAGGTAGCTAGCAGTGAGCATATGTATGTCATACGAAGGAGCTTGGGTTTACTCTTAATGAAAAGGAAGGTGACCAGATTTTTGTGGTATAAAAATATATCTGGTCCCTTTGGGGAGAATAAATTTGATGGGACCCAGAGATTGAGTTAATTGGCAGTAACCAGGCAAGTTACCAAAGAGATATTTGGGGGAAAGAATCAATAGGACATTGCTTGAAGGAAGTAACCTGACCTGACCCTAGATTCGCAGCAGGCACTTTCTCACCCTTTGTAGGTACAGATAGGGGGATGCTCCCTTTTGCAGGGCCCAAGCAATTACCCATCTTTTCAAGCCCTCACAGATTCACTTTAGGACTACACCCTAGACATGGAGCTTTGAACAAGATCCAAGATTTTCCCATCCCTGTGGCATATAGTCAGCTCTATATATGCCTGATTTTCAAACATCACTATCTAAAAATATATAATGCTAATACCTGGATGTGATTTTCTGGCTTCAGAAACTAAGAAATTAAAACTTTTCCTAAAGTGAATTAAGAAAAGGAAATTACAGAATCAGTGCTAGAAATTAGATAGCTAAATAGCTGTTAAAACAAAATAAAACAAAAAAAAAACAACCTATCCTCTCCCAGCCGGTGTGGCTCAGTGGTTGAGCCTTGACCTATGTATGAACCAGGAGGTCATGGTTGATTCCAGGTCAGGGTACATGCCTGGGGTGTGGGTTCCATCCCCAATGGGGAGGGGGCGTGCAGGAGGCAGTGGATCAATATTTCTCTCATCATTGTTTTTATCTCTCTCCCTCTCCCTTCCTCTCTGAAATCAATAAAAATATACTTTTTTAAAAATAACTATCCTAGCCCTAACTGGTTTGGGTCAGTGGATAGAGCGTCAGCCTGCAGACTCAAGGGTCCCAGGTTTGATTCTGGTCAAGGGCATGTACCTTGGTTGCATGGGTTGTGGGCTCCATCCCCAATGGGGAGGGGACATGCAGGAGGCAGTGGATCAATATTTCTCTCATCATTGTTTCTATCCCTTCCTCTCTGTAAAAAATCAATAAAATATATTTTTTAAAAATAAAATAAAATAACTATCCTAAAGCATATGTAGAACTTTACACAAAAAGTTTTTTTTATTATTTCCCTGACTGAGAACAAAATAAGGTAATAGCCAAACCAAGTGGTCCCATACAAAATAACTCCTTACATGGCAAATGATTTAACAGTGGAATGGGTAACTAAAGCCAACTGGGCAACTCTTTCTCCAGCCTTAAAGGACACATTTTTATATCTCTGGGAAGGCGTTGGTGTGGCGCTGTCCATGGGGAGTGGCGCCAGCAGCTCCTGGGCAGGACAGCAGGAACTTCAGCCAACGAGGGCCGGCACCCTCCCCTCGGCCTGTGCATTGCTCGGTGCTCCATAACGTTCGGGGAGCTTTAATGGCCTCTGTGAGTAAAGGGGTGCTGGCTGCATGTCTGTGTGAAAACAGGAACAAACATCCTGCTCAGAGGCAGATGCCCTTAAGATACCTACTTGCCACGTTGGAGACGAAGCCCAGACTTCGCTTAAGGTCAGAGCAGATAGAGTGGAGGCACCATCGGAATTTTGCATCACAGCGATACTTGTTGGCACCGCAGGTGTCATAACAGGCATCCAGCTGGTTGCAGCACTTGGTCATTGCTGGGATGCCCAAGTCCATCTGGGGAAAGAGGGAAGAAAATGCCACGTTTAGACCGAGGACCTCAGGCAACCTTGCCCATGTACTTGTCGAGCCAGTTCTCAAATTCCTGCTACACTTTCGGATCAACTGAGAAACACCTGTGACTTGAGAGAATACAGCGGGTTGATAGTCAGGATGTTAAATTTCAATCACAATTTACTTGTTAATTCACAGGTCACTATGGTGATGAAAATAGAAATCAGAACGCCAGTCCAGAAAGCAGAGTTTCAAAACATCCAAATTCAGCTAAAACTTACATGAGATTTTGTCTAAGCAAAGGATCCCAAGGCTCAGAATTAGGAAAACTAAAGTCTTAGTTCATCATTCGGGCACCTGCATTTATCAGAGATCCACCCCACACAGCGCTGTGTTAATGGGGTGTGTGTCTGTACATGTTGGGGAGCAGAGTCAGGTATAGGACACAGAGTTCCTGAAGACAAGAGCACTCTGGTCAAAGGGCAATATCTAATGCACACTCGGTCATGTGTTTATTAAGTGTCCTATAAGCCATTGTAAATGTTGTGGCATAAGCTGAGTAAATTCATAGAATGCCATCTGTAAAGTAATAAAACGGGAATTTTTTAGAGGATTTTGAAAGAAGATGAAGAGAGGGTTAACAGAAATAAGGATAGCCTTAGAACATAGCAGGTAACGAAAGGAAATAATGAGCAAATCATATTGTGAGTGAATTTGTTTGTTTAGTCTTTCAAGAGTCTCTCCAGGGAAATACATGCATGTAAAAAGTTTTCCTTAGAGCCCTAGCTGTTTTGGCTCAGTGGATAGAGCAACGGCCTGCAGACTGAAGGGTCCCGGGTTTAATTCCAGTCAAGGGCACATGCCTGTTTTGCAGACTCGATCCCTAGTGGGGGGTACGGGGGGAGTGTACAAGAGGCAGCCAATTAATTATTCTCTTTCATCATTGATGTTTCTATCTCTCTCTCCCTCTTCCTGCCTTTCTGAAATCAATAAAAAATATATTTTTTAAAAAAGTTTTCCTTAGAGAAAAGAGTAAGTTGATGGATGACCTTGACTTCCAAAGTAACTAGTTAGATTTGATAAACAATCTTGAGCAAGGAAGGGACATGATACAAAAAGTGATCAAAGAAGAGTAATTGCTTTACTACCTGGCCCTGGCCAGGTAGTTCAGTTGGTTAGAGCATCATCCTGATACACCAGGGTTGCAGGTTTGATCCCCCGTCAGGGTATATGCAAGAAATAACCAGTGAATGAATGCACAAATAAGTGGAACAACAAATTGATGTTTCTCTCTCTCTCTGTCTCTCTGTCTCTCTCTCTCTCTCTTTCTTACACATCAATCAATAAAAAAATAGACGGGAACAGGGTGGGTCTAGATGTAGATAGAGCATCTTAGAATCTTGCAGTTTTACTTGGACTTGGATAGACTCTGTGAAAATCTGGTTTCAGGCATGGTTGGGGAATTATAGTCAGTGATTATAGGTCCTTTCCCCTTAGGTCTCCGTAAGTGTTCTCTCATTTAAACTTTTCTTCCAAGGCCACTTAAAGCAGAATATGGAGTTTGGCAGTTTACAATGTCCTTTTAAGCAACATTAAGAGGTTATGTAACTCATTATTAGACTAGGCAAAGGCCTGGACTCTGCAATTCTGGGTAAATTCCATTACTGATACCTGAAGTAAACTACTTTGCTTGTACCTCATCTCTAAAACTACAAATATATCACAACAGAGGTAACTGAGAATTAGATGAGTATAGTGGCTACCATTCAATTCAATACAATTCAATTGGAAAGTCTTGAACTAGTTTTTAATGATATTTGTATCAGCAAACAAAATGACATTACTTCCAAAATATGGTGCATACCACTTCTATAGTTACTAAATTGATATCAAGTAAAATATATTGGCCGAAAATAGGTGGTTTCTCTATGTAAATGCAGAGTAGGGCAAAAGTAGGCACCCAAAACACAAAGTTTATTCTTGTGTTATTATTTATGAACTGTTGTATTACTTTCCATATGAACAACTGTAAACCTACTTTTGCTCCACCTTTTATTAATTTAAATTATTGTCTTTCTTCTGCATCCATACACATTCTGCTGGGCGTTCAACTGTGCAGGTTGTTCAAAGCACAAGAGGGTCAGATCTTCCCACAAGACATCATATTTATTACGAAATGTCTAGCCAATTACAGTCAAGTTTCTTTTTCTAACAAAATCAATATCTATATATATAAAAGGCTAATATACAAAGTGTCCACTCAGGAGTTCGAATTGTGCTGACCACCAGGGGGTGGCTCAGAATGAAGGGAAGCCCTGGTTAGCAGCCAGAAGGCCCCAATTGACCCTGATCGCTGGCCAGGCCTAGGGACCCTACCCGTGCTCAAATTTCGTGCACCGGGCCTCTAGTATTAAGATAAATTTCTGACAAATGGAAGAAAACTGTCTTGAGGAAAGAGGACCTCTTTCCAATTTACATAAAAATGCCCCATGGGCCCTAACTGGTTTGGCTCAGTGGATAGAGCGTCGGCCTGCGGACTAAAGGGTCCCGGGTTCGATTCTGGTCAAGGGCATGTACCTTGGTTGTGGGCACATCCCCAGTAGGGGGTGTGCAGGAGGCAGCTGGTCGATGTTTCTCTCTCATGGATGTTTCTAGCTCTCTGTCCCTCTCCCTTCCTCTCTGCAAAAAATCAATAAAATATATTTTTAAAAAATGCCCCATGGGTGAGCAGGATCTTAGAATAAACATATGCCGCTTAGAAAATTATTACAAAGTAAAATCTTTTGAATCATCAGAAAAGTGAAGTTGAGCTTGGTTAAAATACAAGTCAAAAATCACAGTTCAGATATGAAATCCCTGTACCTACATTTTACATAGGGCCTCTTTTCTAAAGAAGTCTTATAAGAAATTATAACTTAATTTCAGGGGAGACCTACAGTTTGAGAAATGGTCTACATTGTGATGATGAATGTTTAGCCAGTGACTGGAGGTGTGTATGGAGGTTTTTCTTGGGGGTGGGGGTATGAGGGTGCGTTTGCAGAGTTCTATGATGTTAATACTCCAAACACAGCTGATTTGGCACGAGAAGTCCTGACAATACCGTAGCAGTCGGCTCTCACTGGTCAGTCCCAGCTGGCTCCACACGTCAAACCCCTCAGATCTAGTTCCTATTTAGTTCTGTTTGATCCCCTAAAGCTCAGCTGATGTTTGCCGTGGTGATTTCCAAGTTCACTTTACAAGGGCTTATCTGAGGGACAGCTGCCTCTGACAAAAGGAAGTCAAATTCTTCTTTTAAAAATCATCTCCTTTCCTCTGTCTCCAATTTAAACTTCTCAATCGCATTGCCCAACTATATTCTATATGCGGTCACTTCCATCAGCAATAACTCTTGAATGTGTCTCAGTTAAAACCGGTCAGCGGAGAAAACGATGGTGGTGGTACATACACTTTCTGGTACCTTGAGACCCAGGAAGTAGGAGCTGCAGCCATTGGGCTCCTGCGGCTTGTAGTGAGGTCTGGGCATTGGTGCCTTTCCTAGCAGAGAAAGAAGAGGAAGAAGCGGGAAGGAATATTTAGAAATTAAGCATTTGGAAACATTCGTGAAATAAAAAATATCTAAAAGCGCGATCAGTTTTTCCTTTGAAAGTCATTGTTCCTCAGCAGATATTCACATCCAAATTAGGTGGTGGTGATGGTAACAATGATAATGATGTCCTAAAAGAGTACTAACCCTCAGGCCAGTTTGGCATTTCTCTCCTAATCTCAAAGAATTTCTAATGTTTCTTGAAGATAAGGTCCTTGGCAAAACCGAACTGAAACTCAAGATTTCTTACTCCCCTATCCACTGTACGGCCACACTCCTTGCACAGAAAAAGGAAAACACGACCTGATCACACAGTCAGGAACCAGAATTGTAACAGTTCCGCAAAGTTTTTCCCAGAATAACTAGAATGGAACTTTGCAAAATTCTATAAATATAGGCAAACCATTATTGCCCAAAGGACAAAGAAAACACCCTATTTAGGCACTTCTATCATAGAACTAAGCAGAGATTATCTGAAAAACTTTTAATTTCTTGGTTTCTCCTATATAGCTTTTGAGTTATTTTATGATCTTGCCAATACGTACCAGGATTCTTTGTCAGTTGTCTCAATGGTGGTCATGCATCATAAAGATAACCTTGACCTGAGGTGACCTCAGGGCAGTCATCTCCAGTGAGTATTTTTATCTATTATCTGGTTAAGAAAATGGGGCGGAGAGCTTATGTGACTTGCTTAAGTCATGGAGTACGTGGGGGAAGTAGGGTGTAAATCCAGATTTCTTGTTTTTTTCTCCAAAGCTCATGTTCTTCCTCCACATTCCTTTGCCTCTTTTTAGGACAAGATATAGCATAAGACTGAGGAAATAAGCTAAGAATTAATCCTCGGAGTGAGGTACCTGGCATTTCTATTTTCTTTATTTTAATTTTTATTATGAAATTTCAAAACTGAAGAAAAGTCAAAGAAAAAAACACCCATGAACCCACTACATGAACATAATAAAGGTTAACATTACCAAACTTTCCATAAATATATTTTCTGCTTAATTAATGTTATTAATGTTGCAAGTATAGTTGAAGCCCCTTTGCCCCCCATTTTCCTGTTTTAATTTTTAAATACTAAGTCTATGCTTTAAAGCCCAAAATTGTCTTGATTATTCTTGGCCCTTCGCTCTTGCATATGAATTAGTACATTCTATAAGAGATTGTCAGAATTTTGCTTGAACATACGTTGAATTTATAGATTAATTTGGAAACAACTGACTTTCGTAGAATATTCTGTCTTCCCAAACATGGGCATTTACTTAGTCCTCCTTTATATCCTTCAATAGAGTGTTATAATTTTCTCTGTGTACCTATTATCTCTCCGACATGCTGGACTATTCAGATGCTTACACAATATAGGATATCTCGTAAAACGCCAGAATTACGGATCATAAGGCTGGTATAGTACATCTGCACTTTTCTGGATCCCAGGCTGCTTCTAGCTTTCTGCTCTACCAGCCCTAGAATGAAGCCCTGGCTCTCATGGTCCAAGACGGAGCTTCAGCCAACACCTTCCTATTGTAAGCAGCACATGGAAGAAGGAAGTAGGATCACAGCCTCCCTCTTGAACAAACACACTCCAGAATGTTACACACATCACTTCCTCTTTCTCCCTTTGGCCAGATCTTAATCAAATGACAACACCTCGTTGCAAAGGTGGGCAATGGAAATGACGTTTTTATTCAATGGAGGCAACCTGTTTTCTTCAGTAGCTGCATCATTTACATTCCCATCTGCAATGCACAAGGGTTCCAATTTCTCCACATCCTCACAGTTTCACTACAATGTACCTAGATGTGAAGTGTATATGCTTATCCTGCTCTGAACAATCTGAAGATTCGGGTTTCTTTGACCTCTGGAGACTCCACAGCCGTTGTCTGAATACAGGAAAGCCTCGCTGTAACAGACTAATTCAGGAGGGGGGAGTGTCCATTAAAGCCGAAAGTCCATTATATATTGATATGTAATATAATTTCTCCCACATGCATATGTTAAAAAATTGACAAATTAGTTTACATGTTTTTACTTAGGTAGACACATTTGTGTAATTATAATTAAGTATGTCTGAAAAGTTTAATTTCACAGAAAAGTATGCTATATGTGTTACTGTGATTTTAAATTTATACTGTACAGGTCTAGTAAATGGGTGCATTCACCAGTCATCACAAGTAAACAAATGTACACGGCCGGGGGGTGGCTGGGCCTATATCGGGATGTCCCTGGCATAAGTTAGAACCGCTGCAGAAAGTCCACCACGTGACAATGGAACCAATTACTCCAAGAGAGGCAGTGTGAGCACATGCTAATCATTCCACAAACATTGTTCACAAGCGGTGACTCTTGGATTTAAATATATAGACTATAGTTGTAGACATGTAATATTCATTTATGTCGGCAAAATTACTAGAGTTTTTTCCAACATATGGCCTATTTGCTAAAATTTGATTAATAACAAAAAAAAACCTGTTAATTTAATTATGAGCAAATCTTGGTTAAAGGCATTTTTAAATTAATTTTCACATATGACATACGGATGAGAAATTTTGCTTGTTAAGTCTGAAGTCCATTAAATCAAGGTCTGCAAAACTGAGGGTTTACTGTATTTTATTTTCCTCATTCTCTCTAGTTTCTCCTTCTGGGCCTCTTATTACTGAACGGTGAATCTTTTTAATCCTATACTTTACACATTTTAACCTCTCTTTTATATTTTATATATGTTTCTCTCTGTACTGATTTTTTATTAACTTCATCAAGTCTATTTGCCATTTTCCTAATTCTCTCTAACCTGCTGTTTAACTCATCCACTGAGTTTCTTTTCAATGACTATAAGTTTCGTTTCTTAGAATTCTTCTTTTAAATCTGTGTATTCATTTTCATTGAGTTCTTTTTTCTTTTTCTTTTCAATATATTTTTATTGATTTTAGAGAGAGGAAGGGAGTGAGAGAGATAGAAACATCAATGAGAGCGAAACATCAACTGGCTGCCTACTGAACACCCCCTCCCCCCCGCTGGGGATCGAGCCACAACTTGGACATGTGCCCTGACTTGAAATTGAACCATAACCTCCTGGTTCACGGGCCAATGACCAACCACTGAACCACAACGATGGGCTTTGTTGGGTGCTTTTTATTATGTCTTCTATTCCTTTTTATTTCTTTAATAAATTCAAATGTTCTTGTTTATATTATTTATATCTATTATGTTATTTTTATGTATTTATTTATCCTCACCCAATGATAAGTTTTTTATTGATTTTAGAGAGAGGAAGAGAGGGTGTAGGGAGAGAAATAGAGAAAGAGAGAGAAACATAGATACTTGAGAGAAACATCAATCAGTTGCCTCCCAAAAGTGCCCTGACTGGGGATCAAACCCCCAACCTTTTGGTGCATAGGATGATGCTCCAACCAACTGAGCCACACCAGCCAGGGCCTAAGTCTTTCATTTTTAAATGTCTACTAACTCTCACTCATGGAGGATTATTTTTTCACATGTTGTGTCTCTTCAGAGGGGCTGTTTTTCTAAAAAATTCCTGTGCCCTGCATCGTACACTACGGAGTAGTTCCTCGACTGCTTTTGCCGTGGCTGTAGGAGTCTCAAGATACTTCATGTTAATTTCTGGATTCCTCGCCTGTGCATAGAATATGCCTGGAGTAGCGGATTTTTAGTGTTATTTGTCCTTCAAGCCCTAGCCCTGGGTGAATGGAAAGCATCCTTGCTACTTCCTTGGAATATGGATAGAGGTTTTCTAATCTTTTTAAAACAGACTGGGCAGCCCACCAGGCTCTAAGCTTTATGCTAACTGTCCAGTTCCAACTTCTTGGGAAAAGTGAAAAGTTCCTTTTCCTCTCTTTGCCTGAGCGTTAACACCGATCCCTCAGCCCCTGGGTGTACATATGCTCCAGACTGAAAACCCAAGGGCCACAGCAGCAGCCAGCTCACCACTTTGCCTTTGTGTTTTCTCTGTATTTCTGGAACTTGGGAGGTTGCCTTTATTTCATTCTGGTTTGAGTGTGTACTTTTAAAAAATATTTTATTTTTACAGTGTTTCTTATTTATAATGGAGAGGTGCTGTACATGTTGATGGAGTCCACCAGCGCACCCGTAATTCCTGCGTTACTTTTCAAAGGTTTTGAGAAAGATAATTTACCATTGACAACTGTGAGTGTGTGTGTGTGTGTGTGTGTGTGTGTGTGTGTAGCTCTGGGAGTGGGGAATGCGTGAAGTGTATTAAATACTATTAGTAATCAAATTACACTCATGAAAAATAATCACACTGTCAAGTGTATTTAATCTTGGAGATGACATCAAATATGCACTTCATCTTGGAGGTGAGATTACAGTAACTTTATTTTTCCTTTGGATTATTCTTTTACAAATGTCCTATATATACTAGCCTTAAAGAAATCAGGAAAAAATTGAATGAAAAAAACAAGTGTCTAAATTTGATGGTAAAATTCGCTTTTTAATAATTTTGTTGATAAAGGGCTTTTGCAGCAGACTCGGTGCGGTTTCCTGGGATCCTTCTGCTTTTTTTGCACCTGAGAACTTAACAGAATATAAAACTCTGAGCTTCTGGTTTGAAAGATAATGAAACACCAATTATAGTCACTTCCTAACTGGCCTGCTACTGATGAAGGTTATTTTCATTGTGTTTAATATTTATTTTTTTTTTAATTAAATCTTTATTGTTCATATTATTACATTTGTTCCTCTTTTTTCCCCCCCCATAACTCCCCTCCTTCCAGCTCCCACCCCACCCTCCGCCCTCACTCCCCACCCACTGTCCTCATCCATAGGTGCACGATTTTTGTCCAGTCTCTTCCCGCATCTCCCACACCCCTTTCCCCCCCAAGAATATTTAGTCCGTTCCCTTTCTATGTCCCTGATTCTATTATAATCACCAGTTCATTCTGTACATCAGGTTATTTATTCACTTGATTCTTAGATTCAC